ACGAAATGTCATCATGTGAGAGTTGAGTCATGCATGTGAGTGAGACTTGCTCAAACACATGCTTATGGCTCATGAATTCAACCAAGCTTGAAACGGAATGTCATCATGTGAGAGTTGAGCCATGCATGTGAGTGAGACATGCTCAAACACATGCTTATATTTCTTGAATTCAACCAAGCTTGAAACGGAATGTCATCATGTCAGAGTCGTGCATGTGAGTGAGACTTGCTCAAACACATGCTCATGGCACATGAATCCAACCAAGCAGGAAACGGAACGTCCCCTACTACTATGTGAGTGGAAAGCACAAGCTAGGCTAGTTCAAAACACAAGTCTTGAGCATGAGTTCATCCATGGAAGAATCAGAGTATGATCTACTACTATGTGAGTGAAAGGCAAGAGCTAGACTAGACCAATTCACAAGTTTTGAGCATGAGATCTTCCATGGAAGAATCGGATCACCTCCTACTACTATGTGAATGAAAAGCAAGGGTTAGAGTAAACCAAATCACAAGATTTGAGCATGAGATCATCCATGTGAGTGAAAAGCAAGAGTTAGAGTAGGCCAAGTCACAAGTTTTGAGCATGAGATCATCCATGGAAGAATTGGAGCACTACCTAGTACTATGTGAGTGAAAAGCAAGAGTTAGAGTAGACCAAATCACAAGTTTTGAGCATGAGATCATCCATGGAAGAGAGATCATCCATGGAAGAATCAGAGCACTGCCTACTACTATGTGAGTGAAAAGTAAGAGTTAAGACTACGCCAAATCATAAGTTATGAGAATGAGATCATCTATGGAAGAATCGGAGCACTACCTACTACTATGTGAGTGAAAAGCAAGAGTTAGAGTAGACCAAATCACAAGTTTTGAGCATGAGATCATCCATGGAAGAATCAGAGCACTACCTACTACTATGTGAGTGAAAGCAAGAGTTAGAGTAGACCCTAGGAAGGACAAGGAGGAGAGGAGGAAGAAGAAGAAGAAGGAGATGAAAAAGAAGAAGAAGAAGAAGAAGAAGAGGAGGAGGAGAGAAAGAAAAAGAAAAAGATGAAGAAGGAAAAGAAGAAGAAGAAGGATGAAGAAGGTGAAGAAGAGGAAGAAGAAGAAGAAGGAGGAGGAGAAGAAGGACACGAAGAAGAGGAAGAAGAAGGGAAAAAAAAAAAGAAAAAAAAAAGAATCTTTTTCCTTCCACTCACCACTCACCTTGTTCACGTCTTGGAGATGGAACCTCAACCTTGATGAGGCTTCTTCCTCCTTGCCCAAATACCTCCTTGGCTATGACTTCCTTCTTCCTCAAGCCTCTCTCTCCTTCCTCTCTCACTCTACCCAAGCTATGGCAAGCTCCTCCCACTATGGCTATGGAATCCTCCCCTCTAGGAGGGCTAATGGGACTCCCTCTAGCCTCTCTCTCTTCCTCACACCCTGGGGGCTATAGCGGATCACCCCCCTAATGCTAGCCTCACTTCCACTAACCTTTAGAGCTCCCCCCCCCTTTGCTCATAGTCTCCTCTAAACTCCCAAACTGGCATGGGTTCCCCTCTCCTAGTGAAAGAGTGTTCCTATGAGCTCACTTGGGCATCATGGGCACTCCTCATGCAATTGTGAATGTGGCGGACTGAATCCCCAACTTATGTAGGCTGAAACCAGCACTCCGGCCAGCCCATGGGCCTCCCCATGTGCCTTGAGGTGAACCGAGGTACCCCCAAGGCAAAATTCCCCCACTAGGCCCTTCCGGAGGTACCCGGGCCTCATTTTGGCCAAGTACATGCAGTCCGAGTCGTTGGTACCAACTCGGATTGCCTCTTGGCTTCCTTCAGCCTCCTTTTCACTTCCAAAATGTTGCCCCCTTGGGTCCTAATGCCCAAGGGGCAGCCTCACTTGAGAGAAAAGGCCTAGTGTGCCTTTTTCTCGATTTTTTCAGTTTCGATCCCATTTTTGGTAGGCCGAGGTATTTTCCCATGCCTCGATGCAGTTTCAGCCTTGGATTTGGCTGAGATCCAAGGCCAGCAATATTCCGAGCTACCTCCAAGTAGCCCTTGCTTCAATATTGGGCTCCTAAGTTCAATTTTTTAACTTTTGGTGCATCTGGCCCTCTTTTTGGGCCAAATGCACATTTTTGTCTCTTTCCCTCTTTTGTTTCTTTCCATTTTGGGTTGCTACCTCATTCCGGAGCTAGCCGTTTTGGGCTGGCCCACAAACAACGGCTAGTTCCTCTCCACCATGAGATCTGTTCACAGATCCATGGTCCACCAAAAAAACGACCATATCCCTTTTGCATTTTCTTTTATTTTTTTTCTTTTTAATTCAGATTTGTGGAGATATGGCCCTAAGGGTCATATCTCTGCAATCCGGATTGCCCTCCCTCATTCTAAGAGGGATGAGGTCACAGCTCGGACCTGCCACTCCCTAGTGTGAAGGTCCCAATAGGCCGCCACATTCTCCTCCACTCTTTTCTCCCCTTTTGTCTCATTCTTTTTCTCTCATTTTTTTTTCTTTTTCTTTTATTTTAGTTGTGACAAATGTCAAACAGCTGTGCACCCTCTTTCTAGGCCTTGGGTCCTCATTCATGGCCAAATTCATGGTTGGCACTTGACCGCTATATCTCGGATTACAATAATGGCACCCCCATGTTCCTAGGGGGCTCCATTTTGCCTCCGTTAGTCCCAATTTTGAGCCCTTTTTGCTCCGATTTTCTTTGGACTGCCTTTTTCTCATGTTGAGCCTCTTGAGGGTTTTATTTTCTCATGCCTAGCTAGTCCGAGATATCTCGGGCTCCTGGGCAGCCATCCCAACACCATTATTTTACTTTCTCTTCTCTCACGACTCTCCCACTTGCCCCTACTAGTGTTTGCACTAGTGGTGCTAATATTTTCCACTGTCTAGATCCTCGATCTCCACGGTGCCATTTGCTTGTGCGTTTACTTCTTGTGTTGGGTCATGGTTCCCTTAGGACATCTCAAGTCCTCGCCACTTTCCTACGTACAAGTTTCGTTTTCTTGTCCCGCCAGTAGTCCCGCCGACGGGTGTCCCGTTTTTCGACTTTTATTATTTGGGCCCACTTGGTCACCGGCAACATCCCGGATGGTGTCCCATTTTTTTATTTTGGGACCCCCTTGCCCTTGGTGGTTCCAACATCTCTCCCTTAGGTGCCACAAGCGTGCCGATTTTTCTTGGTCGTGAGATCTCATCTCACGGTTGCCATTTACCGTCTCTACTTGCCCCATGCCGAAATCACTTCTTTCCATGGCAGCAATCCGGACTACCGAACCGGGATTCGGCCTGTCTGGAGTCCGGTGTCCGGTGAACCGGTCCGGATTCCGAACATTTTTGGCAACGACCTTTTTTTTTTTTTTCGCGACCCGGGGCGTTTCCTCATGACCTGGGCCGCCCACCAAAAATAAGGGCCCGTTTTTTAAGGCCTCCGAGCGAGATCCGGTAAGGGCCGAAACTTTCCTCTTGTGATTGTCTGTTTTTTTTCCCTTTTTGTTCTTCTGTCCGTTTGAATGGGCTTTCTCTGTTTTGGCGGCCCGGAAGTGAAAGCGGGCTTCGATTTTGAAGTCCTTCATTGGTGACTTTGGCTGCCCCCATCCCGGTACGACATTCAATCGTATGCACGCCCGGTACTGCCGCCATCGCCCGAGGGAGGAAGAAGCAGGGCAAGGAGGCGAGCACAATAGGCAAGGAGCAGACGTGGAGCAGGCACAACACGGCTAGCAGTGGCCGCAGCAAGCGCAGCGTGAGGAGCATAGCACAGCACAGGGCAGCGCAAGCAGATCAGTCTCTCTCTCTCTCTCATCATTTCGTCGTCATGGTCTTCCTCGTACACCATACACCGTCGTCCTAGTCATCGTTGTCTCGTCGTCATTGTCGTTTCCTCCTCGTTGTTGTTGTTTCCTCCTCGTTGTCATCGCTTCCTCCTCGTCGTGTCCTCGTTGTTTCCACCTCGTTTCCTCTTCATGGTCGTCTTCTTGCTTTCTGCTCCTCCATCTGCCTCCTCCTCCACGGCTTCGTCTTCCTCCCGCTCCTCCTCCACGTCTTTTTCGTCGTCCTCCTCGTCCTCCCCCTCCTCTTCCACGTCTTTGTCCTCCTCCTGCTCCTCCACATGTTTCTCCTCATCCTCCTCAACGTCTTCCTTCTCCTCCCGATCGTCCTCCAGGTCTACTTCGTCCTTGTCCTCCTCTTCGTCTTCTTTCTCCTTATCCTCCTCGTCTTCTTTGTCCTTGTCGTGTACTTGGTATATCCTCCCGCCCCTTGGTTCTGCCCTTGCCATGAGGCGCGCCTTTTTTTTTCTTTTCTGGATCTCGGTTGTCGTTCTCCTCGTGCTCCCCGTCAATGTCATAAGCTTCGTCTTCATCCTCCCTCCTCCTCCTCTTCGCCCCCCTCCCCCTCTCCTCCTCGGCTTCATCCGTCTCCTCAACGTCTTCGTCCTCCCACTCCTCCTCCACGTCTTCTTCGTCTTCGTCCTCCTCCACGTCTTCGTCCTCCTCCACGTCTTCGTCCTCCTCCTCCTCCTCCTCCTCCTCCTCCTCCTCGTCTACCTCCTCGCCTTGGTCCTCGTCATGTACTTGTTGTTACCTCCCGCCCCCCGCTTCTGCCCGTGCCACGTGGCACCTTTCTTTTTTTCCCCTCGGATCTTGGTGGTCGTTCTCGTCGTGCTCCCCGTCAATATCGTAGGCTTCGTCTTCGTCGTCCTCCTCCTCCTCCTCTTCGGCCCCCCTCCCCCTCTTCCTCCTCCTCGGCTTCATCCTTCTCCTCAACTTCTTCGTCCTCCCACTCCTCCTCCACGTCTTCTTCGTCTTCGTCGTCCTCCACGTCTTCGTCGTCGTCGTCGTCCTCCTCCTCCTCCACCTCCTCGCCAAGGTATGTTCAGTCACTTCGGTGAGATTTCAAAACGTTTCCCACTCCCCTACTTCCCACATCCCCCATTCACCCCAATTTTTTTTTTTTTTTTTTTTTTTTTTAATCCGAACATATATATACCTATCCGGACAGAAAACCGGACGGTTGGATTAAACCGGGATTCCCGGTGTCCGGTGGCCGGATTTGTCCGGTTTGGTTGTCCGCCGTTGCCATGCTTCTTTCTAACCTTTTGGGCTTGCCGTGGCTCATTTTCGCTTAGCCTAGGCATCCTCATGCAGTCCGTTATTTCTCGGATTGCAATCATGGTCATTCCCCTAGTCCCACAGCCCCACAACTTGCCTCACATACTAGAAGAAAATGAAGCGTTTAATTTCTAAGTGCATTCAGGCTCAATATTGGTTCCGGATGCACCTAAAACATGTGTTTTCCCTTCCCCATGCAGTCCGTTGCAACTCAAACCGCAATTGGGGTCAACTCCCAAGTGCACCCATACACAATTTTGGCTCCGGATGCATCTAAAACATGTGTTTCTCCTCCCCCATGTAATCCGTTATTTTTCGGTTGCATGGGGCCTTGATTTTCTTTGATTTTCTCTGCAAAAATAAAAAAAAATCAAAGTCCTTTGCAACCGTCATATTCCAGAATGAATCTGGTCACGGATGTATCTCCCTAAGTGGTCGTTTTTTACCGTTAAGGCCCTTTTCTCTTTTCTTTTCTTTTCTTTTTCCTCCTTTCTTGGACAGTAGGGACCTGCCAGTCCCTACTTGTGGCAGTCCCTACTTACGGCCAACTCACTCACTCCCTCTCACTTTTTTTGTCTTATTCTCCCACATTGTCTTTTCTTTTCTTTCTTTTTTCTAGCATGCCAAGTGTCAAGTGGTCGTTAAGGCCCTTTTCTCGGCCCTTCCTCTTAGTTTTGGCCCTTCCTATGCCCAAGGTGCAGTCCGTTGTATCTCGGACTGCAATAATGGCCTTCTCATGCTCATGGGAACTTCCCTTTTCCTCTATTCTTCTCCCATAGTGGCCCCTCCTACTCCGATTTTCTCCCGGATGCCTACTTTTCTCATGGGGTCTCTTTTGACTCCATTTTCTTGAGGGAGGCTGATCCGAGATTTTTCGGATTGCTCCCATGCCTCCCACTTTAAGTTTCTTTACTTTTTTTTTTCCTTTCGGCCTTCCCGTTTGCTACCGCTAGTGCTTGCACTAGCGGTGCTAATATTTTTGACCGTCAAGATCTTGTTCTTGACGGTGCACCTTGTCTTAATTATTTTCCCCACATGTGGTGCCGCTGTTTCTTCTTGAGACCTTCACGCGTCCCACCACTTATCCCGTCGGTGGTCCCCGACACTTGTCCCGCCGGTGGTCCCCGACACTTAGTCCCGTCGGTGATCCCCAACACTTGTCCCCGACACTTATCCCCGACACTTAGTCCCGCCGGTGGTCCCCGCCATATTATGTCCCAGATACCATTATTTTTATCTCTCTTACCACCTTACTCCAGATTTCTCTGTCGTGCACAATCTTGCTATGTACAGTATCTCGAGTGGTGGGATTTCATTCGGGACCCACCAGTCCCGACACCGTTCCCAGAGCGATCAGGGGGTTGGCGGTAGAGGAGGAAACCGCCAAGTGGGAGGAAGGGGTTAAGGTCCCCCGCAAAACCGTTCGGGGAATGGGCCGCCTAATAGACGGAATAAGTCACCAAATAGGGGAAACAGGGCACCCTCTTGGAGAGGCAGTTGGCACCTGGGGCTGCCACAGGGTCGGCCTTGGAAGACTTGGGCTTGGACCAACGCTTATGGCAACAACGTGTGGATCAGGGGCACTCTGCGATGACCCTGGCCACATCATTAAATATTGTCCAAAGTATAGAGAGGCCCGTTCGGCTGCCCAGGGGTCAAAAGGCAGCCGCCGGTAAGGATAGCAACTGCCCCTACCACAAGGCCATGTGGGGAAGCGAGAGCGAGCCGACAAGAAACTCCCACACCACATGTGCTGATGGCAGAGGTTGCAGGCCGGTGCCTAGATGGTCGTCCAGAGATTTCTTGTGTCAGAGTCTCTCTAGGCACTTCCCTCACAGGCGTGGCCGATGAGTTAAAGGAGAGAATGCCCGCCTGGGCCAATATGAAGAAGGAGAGTAGGGGACAACTAGTTTTAGTAGACGTAAAAATTTTCAGAGGTAGAGTAGGGACCCTAGTAGATAGTGGGGCCACGCGCAGCTGTATTAGTAGAAAGGCGCTGCAGAAGTTGAAGTTGGGGCTAAAAGTCCATAAGTTAACAGACCCCATAGTGAGTATCCTTGCAGACAATCGCACAATGCAAGTAGAGGATTACATAGAGGGAGTCCAAGCGTACTTTCGCCTAGAGAAAGATGGGAAAGTGGAGAAAGTTCTCCATTCCCTAACTCTCCTCGTAGAGGACAGCCTTCCCTTCGATATAGTCTTAGGAATGGACTGGGGAGAGGCAGTCAGGGTCGGACTCCATTTGCGAGAGCACGAGTGTAGGCTCCCTAGCCCGTCAAGTGGGGTCAAGACTGCCCGTCTGTTTCATGTGTCAGGAGTAGACAACTCCCTGGCACATTGCTACCTTAGCGCTCCTCCGTTCCCGAGGTTAGTGAAAAAGGAGGAACAGCTAGAAGAACAGGTTTTTGTAGCCTATGTTAGGCCAATTACTGAGCCTAAAGAAAAAAAAACCATAGATCCCGCCATTGCCAAGCTGCTGGAAGAGTACACAGATCTAGCTAAGCCGCCTACAGGGGTAGTCCCGCGGCCCATCCAGCATCGCATTGAAATCGAACCTGGCAGCAGGACTCCTAAAGGAGCAGTGTATAGGATGTCCCCGCGGGAATTGGAGGAGTTGCACAAGCAGTTAGATGAACTCCTAGAGAAGGGTTGGATTAGGCCCAGTTCGTCTCCATTTGGAGCACTTGTTCTATTTGTCCCAAAGAAGGAGGGAGAGCTTAGAATGTGCATTGACTATAGGGGTCTCAATGCTATCACCGTGAAGAACGCGAAGCCATTGCCCGTATAGATGATCTTTTACATCGGGTGCAGGGTTGCAAGTATTTTTCAAAGATAGACTTGAAGTCCGGATATCATCAGATAGAGGTTCATCCTGATGATCAGTATAAGACCGCGTTCCGAACTAGATATGGGCAGTACGAGTTTATAGTTATGCCCTTTGGACTGACCAACGCGCCAACAATTTTTCAGCATTGTATGAATGACTTGTTTAGGCCGTGGTTAGACAGTTTTGTAGTAGTCTACTTAGATGACATTCTAGTGTTCAGTAGGACCCTCTAGGAGCATGAGGGTCATCTGAGGCAGGTCTTGGAGAAGCTCAGAGAGGCTAACTTCAAGATTAATGCAAAGAAGTGCGAATGGGCAAAAACCCAAGTTTTGTATTTAGGCCATGTTTTAGATGGAGATGGCATCAAACCAGAAGATAGTAAGATCGCAGCGATTAGAGATTGGCCTACACCCCGCACGTTGACAGAGTTGCGGTCATTCTTAGGCCTAGCTAACTATTATAGGAAGCTTGTGAGAAACTTCTCCACCATTGTTGCACCCCTTCGCAGGTTGTTGAAGAAAGAAACAATCTGGAGATGGGACAAGGACTGCACGTCTGCTATGAAGAAGTTGAAGCCGGCGTTGATAGAGTACCCGACCCTTAAGGTAGCCGATCCGTCCTTACCTTTTGTCGTCACCACTGACATGAGCCAGTATGGTATAGGTGTTGTATTACAGCAAGACGATGGCAACGGGTATAGACCCGTAGAGTTCATGTCTGTTACGATGCCTTCAGAGAAGGTAGCGACATCTACCTACGAGAGAGAACTCTACGCTCTCAGGCAAGCATTAGAACACTGGAAGCACTACTTGCTTGGGAGGCACTTCAAAGTCTACTCAGACCACGAGACATTGAGGTGGCTGAAGACGCAGGCGAAGATGACACCTAAGCTTACTAGGTGGGCTGTAGAGTTAGACCAATATGACTTTGAGCTTAAGCTAGTCAAACAGAAGTATAATGTAGTTGCGCATGGGTGTCCATAAAGTCAATGGGCATTGAATCTCCTGGCTGATCAGGAATAGGCAAGGGTTTGAGAAGACCTAGAGGGGCACGCGTAGAGGTCTTATTTCTCTGGCAGACCTTGCAACTGCGAACATACACTATGTAGTCGGCCTTCATCACAGGCCATATGTACGCGCGCATGAGGTTAGCTAGAGTCTTTTGCCAACCTAAATGTCCCTCAGTATCGTGGCATTCCCCTAGGATCAAACTACGGATCTCTTCACTGTTAGGAACGCACAATCGGTCATCTACGTTAGTCTTCTCGAATAGCAGCCCGTCAGTAGTGCGGGAGTCTGGTTCGGACTCTGGGGCCTTCTTTACTCTCTTGAGGAGGTCACCATAGATACGGTCTTGCGCATACGCCTCTCTAACTTTCTGATGCAGGTCTCTCCCTATATTTAGATAGTGACCTATTGTTCCAAAGTAGTCGGCTCTCCTCCTCACAGAGTAGGCACGACAAGAGCCAAGTCATGGTAATAGTTGATAGGTTCGGTAAGTATGATGTTTTTGTTCCTTTGCCCTCAGAGGCACGCACAAAATTAGTTATTCAGAAGTTTTCTTATCATTGGGTCATTGAACACGGGATTCCACTGTCTATAGTTAGTGATAGAGACACCCGGTTCACTAGTCAAAACTGGCAGGAGTTGATGACAGTCTACGACTCCAAGTTGTTGATGTCATCTAGCCGTCATCCAGAGACTTACGATCAGACT